TATTTAATTATATACTTTTGCAGACATGGGGCTGTTGATATCTCCCTGTTGTATATTGGTGGTGCTTTTCCTTTATATAAATACCAGTCCTCATCTACTGCAACAGGTGAAATGGGTCCATCCATTTTATGTCATTATTCAGGTTTAGTAATGCATAAAATGATATTTACATGCAAAAAGTTATGTCAAAAAGGGATGAACATTTATGAAGTCATCCACAAAAAGCAAAATGGTGTGGGTGTAAGTTTGCATTGGGTTGCACACCCAAATGAGTTTATGATTACACCCCACAATTTATGTTCTGACAGAGGATACACCCATTGAAGCCTTCTTCATGTATAAATATTCTTCAGATTGGGGCAGATGAATTGCTTTGTTATGTCTGATTTTTTTCCCATTTAAAATAAGGAAGAAATTCAATGTAATGGAAAGATACAATGAACATGCAGCACTGAACTTACAACATAACATCAAATAGCTGTTATGTGCCTTCAAGTCAACTCCAACTTACAGCAACCGATTTATTTGGAGGACCTTGACTTCGCCTTCCTTCTTTCTTAATGTTGATGGGTAAGTTTCCATGGGTGAGCAGGGATTCAAATCCTGGTCTCATAGAATTCCAACTCAACATTCAAACCATTACATCATGGTGTTTCATAGCTTTAAATAAAGTGTTTCAATTTTAAAGACAAATATTGATCAAACTTTGAGCAATGTAATAAATAACAATATAAATAGCATGTGAGCATACGGGGGTGAGAGACAGAGTATTGTAATTTAACATTTTGCATGAGAATAGGTGTATCAGAAGGTCCTCTAGTAGGGCTGTGCAAAGCTTAGGACCTCTGTTTCGTAATTCAGAGATTCATATGATTCATTAATACGAATCTCTGAATTTCTAATTGGAAAGGGATCCCCTCTGAAGCATTATGGATCAAAATACAAACCTCCAAAGCTTTCGGAGAAATTTGTAAGGATTTGTTGTTTCGGAGCTTTTTTTTTCCCAATGCAACATACTCCTTCATCTGTAATTGTCTGGGGTAGGAGGGGGCGGGGGCTGATGTGATTGACAAGGGCAACTACATGCTGGTTTTTTTCCCCTTGTCTGCCAATCAAAAGAAGAAAAGCAATCACATGGCTTTCTGCAAAGCAAGTCTCCTCCCCTCAGGTTCTCTCTCTGTCCCTTTGTGATGTTTGCAGGAGAGATAGAATTACATGTATTTGGAGGTCCCTTCTGTTTCTGTGTGTTTCTTAAAACTGAAACTTATAGTAGCTTTTTGATAATTCTGTTTGTTTCTGTCCCTTCATATCCAGTTTGGGACAGCGAGGACCTTTGTAGCAAAGTATTCAAAAGGCCCCACCTTATACTACATTTTCCAGAATTCTGCTTTGGCCAGAAGAATGGGGCTGCCCCTCTTATAACCCCACTGTATGTTAATCACATGTGCTTAAATTGGGAAAAAAATCAGTGGATAGACTGACTGTTCTGAAACTTGGCAGGCTTGCTGTCCTATTCATGTCTCACTGTGCCACAATTTGAGGGGATACCCCTTGTAGTATAATTAATAATTTTTAATTGAAAAAACTTTAAAATGTCTTGGGTGTGAAAAGGTCACAATGGAAAAAGTTTAAGAAGCCCTGTTCTAGATGAGGTTGGTCCAGAAGTCCCATCATACTGGAACATTGGCTTCTGGAGTCCAAAAAAGAAGCATTGTATTGACTGAAAGAAAAATGTGCAGGGACGCCTTTAGCAACTTTGTCTGGAATGCTGAGACTGGTAACCTATAATTCGTAACAAGCACCAAACAAAAAAGACCATGTGACCTTATTTTTAAAAATTACAACAAAATTGCCACTGACAGTAAACATGGCAAATAATCATGCCAGTCGTCACTATCTAAAATAACAATTTAGTATGCTTAGTGTATACACCAGGTGTAAAGATATGTTTCATTTAGCGGCACTGTCTTAATAGGAGCCTGGCCTTTTCTTGAAAAAATATCTGTTTTAAATACACTTAATACATAACTATGGTTTGCATTGTAGAAGTGGCCCCTGAGTCAAAGAGCCAGTTTTCAGAAACTCGCAGCTGACATTTACGGGGCCTTCAATTAACTAATCAAATCATTTCTTGCCTCCTTTTCCCTCCTTTATTATATTGCCATGAAAAAAATTATATACTTCACCACTTTGGAATGGGGCTTGTTCTTTTTTCAGCTTACTGCCTATAGAGAACAAAAACTTTGAGGTATGGGGTGAAGGTAATACTTGAAACTATAGTTTCGAGCTATATATAATTACCTTCAATGGAGCAAAATCATAATGAGAATAGCTTTATTGTCATATTTTTTCACTGGTGGGTGTGAAGAATGATTTAACTTACAGGTACTGATTATGTAATTGTATTGATATAGGGCACACAGCCTACTCTCCCTTATGAATCACGTAGACTGACAAGGGAGGTGTAGAACACCCCACATACTTTTGGCTTCATGAAAGGAGAGAGGTGCTCTCGCAGGGAGCCTTTAAAGTTCACCAATATACATCAAATAAAAGAGGACATGGCAGTGCCATGTGGTGCCATTTAGAAACTAATTGGCCAAAGCAAACCAACACATGCACACTGCAGATGTCTATCAAAGGTTGCCAGTGGACTGAAAATAAGTCACAAACTCACCTAAACAGAATTGATATATAATGCACCAGTTTATTCATACTTTGCTTATGAAACATCCAATGCAACCTCACAAATAAGCCCATAAGAATTACTTGCTTTGCTATAGCTGATGAGTAGGTATTAGTGAAACTGGCTGCAAGTCCACTTCCGAGCACAATTCAAAGTGCGGATCTTGGCTTATAAAGCCCTATACGATTCCGGCCCAGCTTACTTGTCCAAACATATCTCCTTCTACATCCCACCTCACAATTTGAGATTGTCCGGGGAGGCCCTGCTCTCAGGCTCGCCAGCTTCGCAAATGTGTTTGGCAGTGACAGGAGACAGGGCCTTCTCGGTGGTGGCCCCCCGCCTGTGAAACCCGCTTCCCAGCGAGATTAGGTCAGCTTCCTCCCAGTTTCAGGAAGAAACTGAAATCGTGGTTCTGAGACCAGGCTATTGGACAGCAAGCATAATAGCACTTTGGATGTGGAATTGGATTGGAATGGCTATTTGGTTGACAAATATTTTTAATTGTTTTTTAATCTAATGATTTATTTATTGTTTTAAACTGTTGTTATATTATTGTATTTGCTTGTATACTGTGACATCGAATTGTTGCCGAGTGTGAGCGGTGCTGAGTCCCCCCTCGGGGGTTGAGAAGGATGCGGTAGAAATGCTGGAAATAAAATAAATAAATAGTCTATTTTGGGCGACAAGGGGTGCAGATGCCTACTTTTCTCTGTAATAAGTAGGGAAATACAATCTAGTACAGAGTTTCTCCAACTTTGCTCCTCCAGATGTTTTTGGACTTCAGCTCCCACAATTCCTAACAGCTGGTAAGCTGGCTGGGATGTCTGGGAGATGAAGTCCACAATACCTGGAGGAGTACAGTTTGAGAAACACTGGTCTAGTACAAAAATCTTTTTGATGAACAGGACCCTCATAGTGTCGATGCTGGCCAGGAAATGAAGATGAAGCAATCTGACATGTCTTTGCTAGCCTATTTGTTCACCTGCATGGAACTCATGAACCAGCAGATTAAAGGTGACAGTAAAGGTTTCCCCCTGACATTAAGTCTAGTTGTGTCCAATTTTGGGGGGTAGTGCTCATCTCCATTTCTAAGACAAAGAGCCGGCATTGTCCATAGACGCCTCCAGGGTCATGTGGCCGGCATGACTGCATGGAACGCCATTACCTTCCCACCAATGTGGTACCTATTGATCTATTCACATTTGCATGTTTTTGAACTACTAGGTTGGCAGAACCTGCTCCCCAGATTCAAACCACTGACCTTTTGGTCAGCAAGTTCAGCAGATCAGCTATTTAACTGCTGCACCACCAGTTTACATGGTGTCATAATTGCTAGTAATTTTATTAGGGTAATGTACGCTTTTGTCCTAAGTAATTTGTTCCTCCATTCATTCCTGTCTCTATTTGTTTTTCAAGAAATGTTTGCTGTCAGCTCTGCAGATGATACCACAGTGATTAGCAAGTCTGCTGTCTTTCCCCATAATTACATCATTTACCCAGGGAATTGGTAGGTGGGTCATTTGATAATTTTAAACCTCTAAGCATTTAAACATAACAAATATAGCAGTAAGACTTCGCTCATAAGCTTAACACAGTAATGGGCACCACAATTAAAGAGAGATATTAACAAGCTAGAAGGTGTCCAGAGGAGGGCGATTAAAATGATCAAAGGTCTGGAGAACAAGCCCTATGAGGGGCGGCTTAAAGAACTGGGCATGTTTAGCCTGCAGAAGAGAGGACTGAGAGGAGATATGAGAGCCATGTATAGATATGTGAGGGGAAGTCATAGGGAGGAGGGAACAAACTTGTTTTCTGATGCCCCGGAGACTAGTATGCGGAACAATGGCTTCAAACTACAGGAAAGGAGATTCCACAGAACTTCCTAACTGTGAGAGCTGTTCAGCAGTGGAACTCTCTACCCCTAAGTGTGATGGAGGCTCCTTCTGTGGAGGCTTTTAAACAGAGGCTGGATGGCCACCTGTTGGGGGCGTTTTGAATGCAATTGTCCTTCTTCTTGACAGGTGGTTGGACTGGGTGGCCCACGAGTTCTCTTCCAATTCTATGATCTACAGTAAAATGGGCAATTGGGGTTCTTTTTTGTTAAACAAGTGGACAGAAGAGTGACCACATATCTTTTCTTCTTACCTTGGCTTCTGAAAAGGCTAGAAAATTACTTGCTAATGACGCAGTGGCTGGAATCCAATTAAATGCAAGCCAACTGGGAAAGATGGAAACTCAGTAATTTCATGTGTTTTAATTAGTTGTATATGGAAAGCAACATCATATAGATACAGAAATACAGAGATGCTTTTACCTTTAAAGATTTCCCAGAAAGAGAAACAAGGCCATACAGCTTTAGCTGTCCACCGGCCCACCAGCCAACTTGATTTGATTCTGTCTCTTTTTCCTGGAAAAAAAAAACCATTTAGATGTTGATGTCAATGTACATTTCGTTGCCCATTCTGTTGCCACCACAAACTCACAGTTGTAGAATTGAACTGTGTGTAAGACAAGGATAAAATCAAGAGTGGCAGCTGTTGCCAAGCTAGGTATGATGTAGGAGATCTGTGATCAGAATTGTGATGGGTTGGGATGTTTGTATGTTAGCTCAGTATTCCAATACCCATGGAGTTAATAACAGCTATTGATTTTTATCAGGGATACAATGCTGGGCAGAATTGCATCCTTCAGTATCAGACGCTTTTGAGTCCTCCTCAGAGTGAGATACACTGGGGTAGAAATATAGTAAATAAATAAATTTCCTTGATCTTCAAAGCATTCATTTGGATCTGCTAATAATTAACAAATTAATCATAATATAATGGTTTTTTTTAAAAAAAATCAAATTATAATTAAACACAAACTTTGCGTTAACAGCAGATCAAAAACTGCTTCATTCAAATAACATACTTCATAACTGTCATTATATTAAATATTCTTCTGGGATGTTTTAAAAGTAGCATGCCAAAATGATTAATGTGATAATGGTGATCCTTGATCCATTGTTATGTGTGAAGCTTGGAATATAAATGGTTTCTATATATCTGCAAAGTTGCCTTTTAGTATTTTTGTCCTTCTCACTTGAACTATCATTGCCAATTGTAGCCAAGGTGGTGCAATGGATTAAACCCTTGTGCTGGGTTAACTGCTGGTCTGAAAGGCAGCTGTTCAAATCCACGAGACTGGGTGAGCAGCTGGTCTGTCAGCTCCAGCTTCCCATGTAGGGACATGAGAGAAGCTTCCCACAGGATGGTAAGACATCCCCTGGGCAATGTCCCTGCAGATGACCAATTCTGTCACAAGAGAAGTAACTTGCAGTTTCTCAAGTTGCTTCTGACATGAAAAAAATGCCAATTTCTCAGCAAGGACAATCCACCAAATCTCATCTTGCATTTTTTTAAAGATTGTGCTACGTATTACTATACCTGTATAGAAAGAAGTTGCTCATATGAGAGGCAATCACATTTATTTTTTACTGAAACTGTCTGAGGATCATAAAGTTCATTTCACCCCATTTACATGCAAAGAATAATGAAAAGTTGAGTTGCTTTGGATAAACCAGTTCACCTGAGGCATGCATACAATAACAAATCCAGGCACATTCCAGTATTTTTAAATTCAAGATCATATAGAATGAGTTGATTGCAATCAGATGGCAGAAATCCTAAAACTTGTGTTGTCTGTGTGCAGTGAAACACTATGAGAATATCTAGATCTTCATTTGTTACTTTGGGCACAGTAGCTCCAGCTGCTGTTTTGACTGCAGAGTAGATGAAGTGTTCAGGGCACATGTTCCTGAATAACATCAGAGTGTGGTCAAAATTGCAAAAGTTATTGAGGAGGAAAAACCACATGCTACAGAGGCACTACAGATATATGCTTTTTCCTTGAGTCTACATGGAAGGCCATGTTTCCACACCTTTTTCCTCTCTCTCCACCTTCAGAGTTAATTAGGCGAAAACTACTTTTGCACATTGAACTAGGTTTGTAGCAAAGAGGTAAGGACAAAGAGGGAAAGTGGGACAAGGAGAAATAAACTGAGGGTGCATCTACACATTAGAATTAACACCACTCAATGTTATGGAATCATGGGAGCTATAGTTTGGTAAGGCACTAGAAGTATTAGCAAGTAAGGCCAAAGACCTTGAAAAATTACAAGTATTTCAGATAAGGGATACTCAACCTGTATAAAATCTGAAAGGATGGGAACAAAATCTGACTTTTCAATCAGTTTGGACTAGAACTGGGGTCTTGAGAGTGAAAAGTAGGGTACAGATGATGATGATGATGACGATGTATGTATCACCCCCCTCTCCTTGCAAAGTGATAAATCATTGCACTTATTAAAATACATATATCAACATACACACAAAACCACACTATTAAAATGCAGAATGATGATGATGATATTATTATTTACAGCTTTTATATTCCGCCCTTTTCACCCCGCAGGGGACTCAGGGCGGATTAGAGTGTACACATATATGGCAAACATTCAATGCCAATTTTTGACATACAAACATATACAGACATACACAGAGGCTATTTAACTTTTTCTGGCCACCAGGGGAGCTGTCGCTTTCATTGTCCATCTGTGACGCTGATAAAATTATAAATTAGTTAATTTAGCCTCCCCATACTTTTAAGGTGGTACCTTATTTTCCTACTTGACAGATGCAACTGTCTTTCGGGTTGCAAAGCTCGACAACAGACTACACAATGGTTGGAAACCCACTCCAACCCGGGCTGGCTTCGAACTCATGACCTTTTGGTCAGAGTGATCTTAATGCAGCTGACACTCAGCCAGCTGCGCCACAATCCAGGTGCCACACATGTAAATATTGCCCCAAGTGTCCTTTTACAACTTAGTTTGACTTTTGTGCATAGAGCATGAAGGGCTGAAAGGACTCTATAACTGCATTAAGCTGAATGCTATCACAGAGCTCCTGCCATCAGAACCCAATAAGATCAGGTTACTGGTCATGGGAACTTGATAGTCATATTTAGCTAAACAGAACCCTTTTCATACCTTTGAACTTGTTAGAAAAAAGTCAATTTTACTTCTGAATGGCCAGGAAATTAAAGACAGAGCTTATGCAAACACTACAATTCCTGTTCAGGTGAATGCCTTATCAGAGCTCCTATGGCATACCAATGCACAGATCTCTGTCAAACTATAAACTGTAGCTTAACAGTACAATCATGCTGTCTCTATTGTGGAGAAGGAACTAGGCAATCAACCCAGTATTTACTGTTTCTTCTGTTCCAATGACCTCATCAGACAGGGGAAGAATCGGCAGCATGTCCACTTTGCCGCCCCTTTAAGCATGGAGCCCACCAGGTGCCATTAAACAACGTACTACTACTTCCAGCGGGGCTCCATGCTTAAAGAGTTGGCGAAGTGTAGCATGCTGCTGCCGTGGCAACACAGAAGGCTTCCCGTGTTGCCTTGGAGCAATGGGGGAAAGTCGAACAGCTGACACTTCGCCCCATAAGATTTCCCTGCAGGTGATGTGGGGTATGAGGTGACAGGTCCCCCACGCCCCTGGATCCGCCACAAGTATTATGTGAAGCAGCCTACATTAAAAAAAATTTAAAGCACTGTTTATTTGTCATTGGCAAAACAATCTTGCCTCCACTTTTACATCATAGTCTCAGAGAGAGTAGAGTGGCGGGTGCTTTTTTATGCCGAAAACTAAAGTGTTATACAGAGCAAAATTATTTTTTAAAAAACAGAAACCAGTTGAAACACAACACATTAGAATAACAAAAAAAAAAAACACAGCAAAAAATAAATTAGAAATCTGTATTGTAGTGTATTATGTTGGATATTGTCTCTTTCTCTGCTAAAAAGCAACTTTGAAGACTGCAGTCTTGTTTCCATTTATCTAAAAGGAGGGGTCAATGACTCTGTAAATTGCACACAGAAAGAATACATATGGAAAATATTGTCTCGGTTGGCAAGTGAAGAAAATTAAGAGGATAATGAATTCATCAGTATATCACAGGAAGAAACAGAGAATGGACTGGAATAGAGAAAGAATGGCAGTGCAAGCAGTGTTTTGGAATTAGCAATGGGACTTACTTGTGGCAACAAAGGCCTGATTCTGGAAAATGACTTCTCCAAAATGTGTGCACTCCTCTCTCTAATAACTGAATTATATCTTGCAAAATCATTGCCTCATCTTAAATTAGAGCATCCCACCCAAAGATATAGTTCTGCTATTTTAAAAAAGAGAACAGCTCGTTTTTATAATTCATCAGTTTTTTAGCAACTCCTCCATCTTGATACATAACTACAAAAAATCTTTGATACCCTCTAGTGGTGACAGTTTATAGTCTGGAGGTGTTTAATGAAAATACTAATATTATGGTACTATGAAGGAAAAGGTTCAAGCAATGTATTCTGGTTACAATATCATTATTGAGTAAAACGTTTGATGTATCCTACGAGTATGCAATCACCTGTAATTAACTGTAATTTTATTCACCTGATAAATTTAATCATATATCTATCACACATTACGATGATTTGAATGCAAGGATATTATGTGTGAAGATTTTCGGTGGGGAGAATCATATTAAAGGAGAGCCTGCCCAGGGTTCAAATCTATGGTCAGCCTTTGAAACCAACTGGGCAAATCACACTGTTTCAGCCTCAGAGGAGGGCAAAGGAAAAACCCCATTAAACAAATTGGCTAAGAAATTCCCATGGTAGGTTTACCACAAGGTCGCCATAAGTCAGAAGTTACTTAAAGGCACACTAGAATGCACAAGTTCAAATACAAAGATATACATATTGTGTGAGGTAATGTGATACTGACATCATCTTCTCAGAGCATTATAGCCTTATATAAGAAAGTATGAGCTATTTGTACAAAAAAGCCTACTCCTATAAGTGTCACTAAGAGCTATACCAATCACTGTATTTCAGTTTTTACTATATTTGTTGCAATCATCTTCCTTCACTTCAATGGTTGCATTGCTTTCTGCAGGCTTTGCAATACAGTCTGCAAAACATATTTCAACCAGACTTTCCCTCCAAAGCTAGACTTTCTTGATGAGTTATAATATTAAGCAAGGAAATGAAAACTGGAATTGAGAGAGGATGGTTCACAAATGTCACTACAGTATGTGTGAACACCCCAGAAGGCAAGAAGGACTGGGTTGTTTCTTAGAAAACAGTTCTGCAGAAGAGTGACTGCACATTTGCCACTAACTCAGCTCCAACAGGAGCTGAGACTTACTTGCTTTGAACTGGATTATATGAATCTACTCTACAATGCCAGATAACCTGGGATAAGCAGATAATCTGAGATTGGATCATAGGATGTAAGGGGAGTGTAGAAGGGGCCTTATGATCTTATCACCAAGGCCGAGTGAAGCGTCCCACTTTGTCTGACTTTG